TGACAGACATCGAGCAAATTTCATTAAAAAGAAATCTTCAACTTAGTGAATTAATTTTTTTTCCTTCAAAAACAAACCCTTGTTTCAGAAGAAATTTTCATTTCTTACTCATTTAAATACTTCAAAATTACAAATTTTTTTTCAATAACGAATTAATCAAATAGAAAAGGTCTTAAACGATCAAAAACATCATCAAGAACTAATTAAATCTGCACATAAACAAATAACTAATGAAATAAATATAGATTCAGAAAAACAAGAAATTTTTCATAATTTAAATAATCAATTCTATCAATACAAAAATGATTTTAATCAAATTCAAAAACATGAATATTTTGAAATTCAACCTATATTTCGAACACATCTTGAATTAGCTATTCGAACACTTGATATAGATTTACAACTAACAGGGCAAATTTTTAATGGTAAAACATTAACAGATATTATTCCTAATAAATTATCGATTATAATAAAAACATCTTTGCAATCTATGGCACCGATTGAATTACAAATTGGTAAAAATATAACATAGATTCGTGACAATTTATCAATTATAGCTACGAATATGAAAAATTGTCAGACCATAATTCATGAAAAGAAAATATCACAAGATTTACTAAGAATAGATATTGTAAGTTATTAATATAAGATTGTTTATTATCTAATCGAATACTTATAGAATGATCGTCTTCAAATTATTAAAAATGCATATTTAGAACAGAAAATAAACGAAAAAAATCTATAATCGATAAAATTAACTATAGACAAATTTGTTGAATTTGATCAACAACAAATAGAATTTATTAATAAATTAGAAAATATTTATAATATGTTAAATAAAGAGTCAAATAAAATTCAGAAGAATTTAATAAATATTACAACTGCTCGTTATCATTCTAATCATGCAAATTTTTTATTAAATGCTAAATTAAAATATCTTCCAGTTGATAATTCAGAAAATTTAATAGAACAACCTTTATGTCTTGTTGATGAACATAATATGCCTATTTCAGACGAACTTAATCTTATTAGATTACCATATGAATCAGATCATTTTCATATTTAAAATGATAAACATGAATTAATAATTGTTGATAAAAATGAATTAATAATTGTTGATAAAAATGAAATATCATTATCTGAACCAATCACTTTTAAACAATTAACATTGGAATCAATTGAATTTGAATATATTGATGATAATCGAAAAACTATTCAAATTATTGAAATATCATCACATCATTCAATAAATAAATCTATTAGTCTTAATGTAATATCGATTTCCTTTGATAAATTACCAGCAAGTAAGTCCTCATTCTAAACAGATATTATAGAAAATCATTTTTGTTCTACAAAACTATCGTTTCCATGCTTCTTGTTGCACAAAAATTCAGAAGATTCATAATCACTCAGCCGTTCAGCTGTAACCCATGAAAGACTGTTAATTAATGATAGATCTATTGAGAATTAAAATATGTAATAAAATTTAGCATCTTTTAATGCATTTTTCACAATGTTTGAAGTAAAACTTCTGACTGTTCAATGAATAAATTACATCAGTTTATTTGAAATTGAATTTCGTATATAACGAGATTACGATAAACTTTCTCTGAGGGAAAATCTAAATTTTGAAAACACTAATTACCACTAACTACCCATAAGTACTTCTGTGTACTGGTTTAAAGCATTTTACTTCTGAACAATAGGAGCAACAGGCTGTTATTCATGACACTTTTTTGAAAAACTTAAGTAATGCATTCCTTGCTCATTCAAAACTTTAATTAGAAGTCAATTGATAAAATTGGGACGACTTTAGATTTTCAAAAAAAGTGTCATGCAAATATTTATAAACTGAGAGACGGGTACCTAAGTAAAAAAGTCTAGAATCACAAAAAAATGGATCTTTTATATTTTCGATCTGAAAAATATCATTTAGGTATTTTGGACAGTTTTAACAATATCTTCTAAAGACATATCAACACGAAACAGGGTCGAATTCAACTCCAATTTTTAGGACTTCGTTATTGTTCATGTTCATTCAATTACACTTTAGGTCTTCAAAAAAAAAGACATGAAAAGTATTCTCTTTGTTATG